GGCGGAATCTGACCAAGAAGAGGATGAAGAGGGGAAGAAAGAGCACAGCAAGCCAGCCACGCTGCTGTGGTTGATCCAGAAGTTGTCTCGGATTGCAAAACTGGAAGCTGCTTACTCACCTAGAAACCCCTTAAAGGTGTGAGACATGTACAGAGTGACTCAAAGTGGCTTTTATGTTTTTTAAAAATATTTTAGTGGTGTTAGTGATCCTCCCAAGTTCTTAGGAACTTTTGCACCCAAAACGGAAGCAATAATATCTGCCCCCAAATGGACCTTGTTTTCTATATTATTTGTATGGCTGCAAGTATTAGAGAAACACTTTTAACGTATATTTTCAGAGAACATGCATCTATAAGTTTCTCGGAGCTGTGGCGATGGATCTTGGAGTAGACAAGGTGAAGCCGTATCTCCCAGAGATCATAGCTCCTTTGTTCCGAGAACTGAACAGCACCTATTCGGACCAGGGTAACCTCTTCTGAGTACTTTGCACCTCTCTCCTGAATACTTCCTTCTTCCTTCTTGCCCTCCCTCCCTGCCAGTTTACGTTAACACATTTCGTACCGCTCAGCTTTCTCATGTTTCACGCGCCGTCTGTCAAGGACCGCTCACGAGTGTTCTCGTTTTTCACGCCCATGGAAAAAGGAGCGAATCTAGATACTTACGTAAATTTTGTTTGGTCCCTCTTCATAGAGGAAAATGTTTTACGCAGTACCATACGTTAAAAAAGTACTAGGAACTTTAATTGTTTAACTGTTTTTGTAAACAAAAATGTTATAATTATTGAAAAACAACACCTAAAGTCCATTATGATGATTTAAATAATGCAGTTTGCCCAAAAACGTGCGGTCCCTGGCGTATGTCTTAGAGATTTCTATGCGGTACACAGTGTGTTAAGAAAAGATAATTAATAGCAAACAAATAAGGCATGCTTGTGTTACATTTGACTACCTTCGTCTTGCTTTCTTGTGTGTCTAAGAGTGAACGTTTCCTAAAAGATGTTTTACTCCTAGGCATGAATATTCAAAGAAAACTATAATTTAGGGTGGTTCTAAACCTCATAGTGCTATATGAATCATGAACTGTGAAATATAATTCTCAAGAACTATACAGCAGAAGTGTGAAATGTTCAGTTTAAATATTTCACTTTTTCCTGTCAGCCTCACTGATCCTAAAATGTCTATTTTGCTAATAAGAAAAGAGGGAATTGGGGATTGGAAAGAGAAAGTAAAGCAGATGTTAAAAAGTTTTAAAGTAAAGCAAATGAAGTAAATGTCAAAGCAGGACCTGCTGTGGTCCTACAACCTTGAGCGTTTCCTTCCTCTTAAAGAGGCAAAGCAGTGGTGAAGGTCAGGTCTGCTTTGGTTCTCATCAGCCAACATATACTGAGCACCTAATATCTGACAGGCACTGGGGGTTCAACAGTGGAGAAAAGGCCTAGTACCTATTTTCTGGAAACGTGAACAGGTACACTGAACTCTCCTGAAATTGATGCAGAAATCTGGGTTCTTTGCATTTCGGAGAGAGGAGGCAGGGAAGCTTTTCATCAGCTTCACAAAGGAGTCTTTAATCCACACACACAGAGTTATGGCCAGAGGTAAACCTCTGTGACCTGTGAATCAGCGAGGGCCTGGAGAAACACTTACCTTCCCCCACATCTGCAGAGCTGAGCAGGTTAACCAAATGTAGCCCAGAACAGTGCTGTCCAGTTCTCAAATTAATGTCTTCTGAGCCAGGATTCTGCTAGGAAATGGGCTTCATGGTCTCTGGTCTCTTGTTGACTCCTGGATGAGATGGTGGCTGGGAGCTGTGTCCAACACTTTTGCTGGTTTTCTCATCTCAGAAGTGTAGGTGTTAGTTTCAGATTAGCGTTTAATGTTCAAGTAATAAAAGTGATAATGCCGTAGGAGTTTATATTTCACGTTCTTGATTTTGTAGATATTCAGATGTATCCTTTCCTAGGTAACTGTCTGTGGTTATTATTCTGTGTGTGAACAGATCCTTTGCTGAAGAATCTATCCCAGGAAATCATAGAATTACTCAAAAAGCTGGTTGGCCTGGAGAGCTTCTCATTAGCCTTCGCCTCTGTACAGAAACAGGCTCATGAGAAAAGGGCACTCCGGAAAAAGAGGAAGGCTTTGGAGGTAAGTCTGCTGTTTGAAAATAGAGCACGGCATGTCCATCCTGCTCAGTGACTATTTTTAACCAGGGTGTGTGCGCACGTGTGCACTGACCCACGGAGGAAGAGGAACTGGCTGTGTTTGAGGAGTGCGGACATTATAGCTGGGGCTCCAGCTTTTCTTTAGTGGGCGTGTAAACACTTGTGATGCTTGAAGGTGAATGAAATGGTCCATATGTGCATTTGATTTTTATTAGTTTAACATTTACTTTAAAAGTAATAGAACATTTCTATTCTTTTTTCAAGTTTGTAACCAATCCTGATATTGCCGCCAAGAAGAAGCTGAAAAAACACAAAAGTAAAAGTGAAGCAAAGAAAAGAAAGATAGAGTTCCTGCGTCCTGGCTATAAGGCCAAGAGACAGAAGAGCCACAGCCTGAAAGATTTAGCGATGGTGGAGTAATGTGCCCCCTGTGCTACAGTGTCTCATGGACTTTCCAGTGTATCTGCTAGTCAGAAGTCACAGCAGGTTTTATTATTTAAGCTAAACTTTGGCAGAGATTGTATATTATACAGTTTAATATAATCATGCTCATATTTTTTTTAATTAAAACATTTCTAATACTACTGTATCTTCACTGTCTAAAAATCATGCAATACTAACAATGGAGTTTTTAAAAAGTTTTAAGATATACTTTAAAACAGCAAGACAGCCCTGGCCAGTTTGGCACAGCATCGGCCTGTGGACTGGAGGGTCCCAGGTTTGATTCCAGCCAAGGGCACATGCCTGGGTTGCGGGCTCGATCCCTAGTGGGGGGTGTGCAGGAGGCAGCTGATCAATGATTCTCTCTCATCATTGATATTTCTATCTCTCCCTCTTCCTCTCTGAAATCAATAAAAAAATATATTTTTAAAAAATAAAACAGCAAGGCAAAATATAGAAGTTAGGGGTAAATCAAATACGATTTATAATACCCTTCTGTAGGAAACTAATACTTCATCAAAAAGCATTAGGAAAAATCTGCACAAATAGGGAAATGTAACCATATTCATAGATAAGAAGATCCAGTATCATAAGAGGCTAATTATTCCCCAAACTGGATCCCATTGATTCAATGCATATCTGAGCAAAATCCCCAGTTCTTTATATTTTATTTCATATTACGTAAACCAGCTGATTCTAAAATTTTTTTTGTTAATCCTCACCCAAGGATATTTTTCTTTTTTTTTTTTTTTTTTTTTTAGAGAGTGGAAGGGAGAGGGAGAGACAGAGAGACACATTGACTGGTTGCCTCCACATGCACCCTGACCAGGGCCAGGGAGCCTGAAACCAAGGTATGTGCCCTTGACTGGAATCAAACCCGGGACCTTTCAGCCCACGGGCCAAAGCTCTGTCCACTATGCCAAACCGGCTAGGGATGATTCTAAAATTTATACAGAAGATAAGCTGAGCCATGACGCTCTTAAAACAGAACAGGGTGTGGGGCTCCTCCTGTGAGTTATCAAAAGTGAGACACAGTGCTATCTATAGGAGGAACATGTGGTAAATTCTACTTCGTTATAATTAAGACTTCTACTTAGAAAAAGACTGGGATATGGTATGTACTGATAAAGGGTTATAATGAATCCCTGTGAATCAACAAAGATAATCCAGTAAAAAAGTGGCATTGCACAGAAGAAATATAAATGGTCCTTAAACATTAACAATTAGCCATATGATTAAATACTAAAGTACTTATGTACTGGTTGGTAAACAGTCACTACCTTGAGACCCCCACACCAGAAATTAAAGGGTTACTATCTAGACGGGTAGGGGGTCCTCCTGCATCAGCTATGTCTAGTTCAGTGTTTTTAATCACTCCTGTATCCAACCTCATTAATAATTAGGAAAATGGAAATTCCATTTAGAAACCTTCAGATTGATAAAGCTGACAATGTCAATGTTGGCAAGAATATTAGCCTTTTATTATCTATATATAAAAGCCTAAGTGACCGAATGACCAGTCACTATGATGCGCACTGACCAGCAGGGGGCAGACGCACAACGCAGGAGCTGTCCCCTGGTGGTCAGTGTGCTCCCACAGCAGGAGCACTGCTCAGCTGACCAACCCGTCCGTCCCAGTGGCCCACCAGCCGGGCGGTAGCCACTCACTCCCTCAGTAGTCCTGCAGTTCCAATCTCCGGAGAGAGGGCCAGGTACCAATGGACCGGCACCACGGGCCTCCTGGAAGTTGGCCTTGGGCACTGCGGCCGCTTCCTCTCCCTAGATGCTCCACAAAGAAATGATATAAAAGTGGCTGCCAGATGGCTTCCAACCAGCACAGGGATCAGCAGGATGGATCTGAATCCCAGGCTGGCAAGGGTGTCCCACCACCCACCCAGAAGGCCAATTGTGTCCTGGCCCTCCCGCCCCCCCCTCAGGAAGGGCACCAGACGCAGGGCTCTCCTGATCGGGACTGACAGGGCGCAAGTCCGCAGCAGGCGCAATGGGGCTGGGATGAGCGTGAGCAGCAGGTGGCATTGGACTGCAGGTTTCAACCCGATCCCCGCAGGCACCCGAGGGACCCCACCCGTGCACAAATTCGTGCACCAGGCCTCTAGTATGGGACAATGATGGAGTTAGAGTAGTATAGCATATGGCATCTGAATCAAATATTCAAACATTCATAACTTCAGCACCTATGTTTTGATGTAGATTGTGTCTCAAACAAGAGTTCTTACACTTCGAAGGAGTTTGTAATGTACCAAAAGAAAAAATGTGGGGGAACTTGGAAGGCCAATTTCCATTAATTTTAAGTGATTTAAAATGCATGTATTGCTTTATTAAGTTTTTAAATATTGAAAGTTAACACTAAGACAAAATCAAAAAACAAATACCTCAGGGATATTGAGCACAGCTTTGTTTTAATTAGTATTTATTGAGTGCCTACTATGTGCCAGGTGCACCACACTAGATGCAAAGGATACTAACAGTAAATAAAGTAAGGTCCCTGCCCTCAAGGAGTTTACGTTTCCACAATTTAAAGTGCATCTCAAATATCCCGCTAACAGAATCCCACAACTCTCAATTTAATTTTCAGTGTAATCACATCATAGCATACCTACAACCAGTTATAAAACAATGTTAAAACTAAAACATACCTTTGATATTATTTGTCCAAGTCTCTTGTTTCTTAGAAAAAATTGAAGGAATGGCCACGTGCCTAGAACTCATAGGTTGTTTTTTTGTTTTGTTTTTTAGATTTTTATAAATACCAACATTCAACTCATGTAACATACCTGTACAGTTGTTTCCCGCAAGACAAGGGCTTTATAATTCATATCATATTAAAATAAATGTATGCTCTTTTATCCCATCTTATTCTTTGCAATAAACCAGAGGGATCAGGATCATCTAAGTGCTGAACTTGGCTATAGCTTCCTGGGCCCTCCTCAGAATTCAAGACTGGACAGCACCTGCCCGTCATGGCCTCACTTCCCCATACTTCTATTTTCACAGTGATCCTGAACTTCTCCACTTGACACTGAGACCAAACAAATTAGGAATGGGTGCTGGAAAATAAGAGTAAATCCCACAGGCAAAAAAAGCCACATTCACTGGAGTAGAGAGAATGACCAAAAGTGTGAGGGCAAGGCCAGAGGCCAACATCTGGTAGGACAGTGTCAGGGACAGGAAGTGAATCCCTAGTGTTTCTGAAAGGTGAGGAGCACAATAGTATTAAGCTCACTTTACCAGCATCTACTATCTTGAATGCGGTTATCCAACTTACAAAGTGAAAAAATTTCTCCCCAATTTTAGTAATTACTGAGGACTATATTTACCTCTGTTACACTGGAGCCAATTCTGTGGTAGAATGGGCAGTTTGAAAAGTTCCTTTGACCATAACTGATAACCTACGAGTAAACCTAATTTCTAAAACCAAGAATGCTCAATTTCTCCCTGTAGAACCAGTAAGATTTTGACTTCACCAATAAAATTTATATGTCCAATTACAAGTAGGTAAAATGAAAGACAGTAAAAACATCTTTTACAATGCTTCTTAAAATATATCTTTATTTCCTTCAATGTGAGTATTTTTAATGTGTTGTGAATTCATCAAATATAACCATTTAGGACTGTTTTTACTACCTCTACTAGTATGGACAGATAAATTTACAGGCATTATTTTGAATGTAGTCTACTTCAGTTAGCATAATTTTATGTAGGGAGTTATATCATTTGAACTTACATGTGGTGTAGTTCATGGGACAAGCTTCTGACCCTGAAGTCTCACTTTGAGCCTGGCTCCCAGCTTACTAGCAGTTGGGCAAGCCAAGCTATCAACCCAAGACTCAACACGTCCATAAAACAGAAACATTACATTACAATCTGTCCTATCTACATCACAGGGTTCTTGTAAAAACTGACTAGGTATCAATATACATTGAATTTTTTTTCAACTATAAAGTACTATAAAATAACAATTACAGATACATCAGTGACTTTAACAAAATAATTATTTCAACTTCTTGCCTATAACCAAAAGCTTTTAAATGACACAGTTTAAATAAAGTGGTTACTGAGCAAATGAAACTATATTTACTCACACCATGTTCCTAGACTAGCCTACTGAGTCTACTTTTTGGAAAAATTTAATTCATTTTAGAGGGAAAAAATCTGAGCTAAGGTATTTATTAGTGTTTATATAAACAATCTGCAACCACTCATTCAAAAATAGGGTTTTTCCCCCTTGATAAGAGTGCATTTTTTAATAGGACTGTATTTGAATAAGAATTCCACACAAATAGAATATATACCTTAATAATACAAGAAAGCAAGAAAGGAATATTTTACATCATACAGACCAGTCAGTTGGTTCATTCAAGATGAGCTATCCTTCCAACCAAATACTTATTTTTTATATTTATTACAAATGTGTAGCCAGTTCAGTATATGCCAACAATCATACACACAGCTTTAACATTTAGTAGTGTGAAGCACACTTAACTATTTCCAAAGGGACATGGGATGTGGTCTTCATTTCAGAAGGAGAAGTGATTGGATTACTGCCTGCTCTTTAATGCTTCAACTAACCTGTAAAGAGAAAATGAATGGTTTCATAAATTTAACTTCAAACTTTCAGGTATAGAGTATGATCATTTATAAACTTTATACTGGAGATGGATTCCAAAGCACTTTAAAATATATTTTTATTGATTTCAGAGAGGAAGGGAGAAGGAAAGATAGAAACATCAATGATGAGAGAGAATCAATGATCGGCTGCCTCCTGCACGCCCCCTACTGGGGATCGAGCCCACAACCCGGGCATGTGCCCTTGACTAGAATCGAACTGGGGACCCTTCAGTCCGCAGGCCGATGCTCTATCCACTGAGCCAAACCAGCTAGGGCTCCAAAGCACTTTAAATGATAAAGGTTGAGATAGTTATATTAGAAAAATGAAGTTATAGACTCGATTTCGAAGAAGGTTTTTAAGCTTTCATTTGTCATATTCTTTTGAAAGAATAATCAAAAAACCTACTTTCCAGGCTGCTACTTCTACAGCAGGGCTAGATGTGGATAATTCAGAGGTGGTAACTAGTCTCAGTCCTCAAGGAGCTAATAATCTAATAAGGAGATGTACAAATCAATTACGAGATGGCGTAACAAGTATTGTATCACTGATCTGTGACAAGGACGTTGGTGTGTGTGTGTGCTAAGGCAGTGGGCATGGAGATATGTCAGGAAAGACTCTTGAAAAGAGGAAAGCCTTAACCAAGGTAAGAAATTAGAGGATAAAATGAGGCAGGAAAAAGATAGAAAAATGGGAAAAGCTGGTTTTCTAACTGTAATCAGATAGGTATGGTTGAAATAAAAGCTAAGGCACATTAAGTCAAGTGGAAGATAAGGCTGGAGGAACTTATCAGACCGCTGTACCGATTTTTCGGTAATTTCCGAATCCGCCACTATACCGCTGTACCTAATTTTCGGTACTTTGCCTAGACCTATTTTCTACAATGTCTCCAAGTTCCATCTTATTCTAACCACTTGTTTGCATGTAACTAACATTTTTCTGTATCATGCTGGTTTTTTCTCTTTAATGCTCAGGAGCCCAGGTATAGGGGACAGTTAGGTTCAGGGCCTCAGGTCTGGTATTGTTAATACAAGACATTAAGTAATAGGAATTTCATCCTTAAGACATAAGGGAAATTACATGTGTGCACAGCTGCATACACGCACACACACGCACAGATGGCTTCTAAAAACATGATGCTTACCATTCCATTGCCTCATCAAGGCCAGTGCCTTTGGTTGCTGAAGTTTTGAATATTTGCCATTTTCGGTCCTTCAAGGCAGGTAGCCCAAGTGAATTTGCCATCTCTGAGGGAGTCATAGCCTGTTCCATGTCCTGCTTATTTGCAAATACCACCAAAATGGCTTTTCTCAGCTCTTCTTCCTAAATAAACAGAAGATATTTAATTTCCTTTAATCAATGTGCTCCCTTGAGTTTAGGCAGACATGCCCCAAATACAATATTTTAAAAGTACATTTCCTAATTATTAAGACACAATGTTCATTATAAATTATTTGAAATTATAGAGAAGTACAAGGAAAAGAAGCTTTACCCCAATCCTATCTCAAAAACATGGTCACTGTTAACATTTTAAGTATTTTCTACAGCTTTGTAATTCAGATATTTATGGTTTATTTAGTAAATAAATTTCTATATTTAAAATTGCATTTACAGTTACATGCCCTGCTTTAAAACTAAACATTAAATCCTGATTTTCCAAACAATCAAAATTTTCTTACACACAAAAAAAGGTTAAATATACTCTACACTATAATTATATGCACCATAAACTATATGACTGTTTTCCAGTATTAAACTCTCTTTAGATTCTTTTTACTTACCTATTAGAAAAACCCAGGTAACACAGTCATTATATAGAAATCTTTGAATAAATCTCTATTTCCTTAATATAATTCTTTAAAAGTGAAATCAAAATATGAAAACTTTTTCTGGTTCTTGTTACATGTATTAATAAACTGCCTACCAAAAAAGTTGTAACAATTTCAATCCCACCAACAGTATACACTGAGTGGCCAGATTATTATGACCCGCCAGATTATTATGACCGCCCCATCAATACTTTGTTGGGCCACCTTTTGCCTCCAATACTGCAGCAATTCTTCTTGGCATTGACTCCATGAGATGTTGAAAAGGTGATGCGAGGAATCTGACACCATGCCTAATGAACAGCACTGCCCAGTTCTGTGAGATTTGATGGTTGTGGAACCAGCTGCCTGAAGGCTCTTTTAACTTCGTCCCACAAATGCTCAATTAGATTGAGATCTGGTGATTGTGGGGGCCACCTAAGCAAGGTAAAGTCTCCCTCATGTTGAAAGCACTCCTGCACAATACGAGCACCGTGGCATGGCGCGTTGTCTTGTTGGAAGAAGCCATCTCCACTGGGATACGCCATCAACATGATAGGATGAACTTGATCAGCAACGATAATTAGTTAGATATGTTGTGCTATTCAGACATTTGTAATGATCTGGCTCTCTAGCAACTTCAGCGCGAAATTGTAGCTAATTTGCCTACAAACGTCAAGTGGTCAGAATAATCTGGCCACTCAGTGTATATGACAGTGCCTATTTTCAATGCAGCCTTGGTAGAACTAGAAAAATTATATACTTTTCCAGACATAGCATCCTATTATATGATTACTAGAGGCCCGATGCATGAAAATTCATGCAAGAGTAGGCCTTCCTTCTCCCCACTGCTGGCACCGGCTTCCCTCCGGCACCCAGGACCCGGGCTGCTTCACTCCAGCCGCCACCGCCAGGCACCCTGGACCCTCCGGCCCCGGCTTCATCTGGAAGGAAGTCCAGAATGACGCCTGGAAAGATGTTCGGTCTAATTAGCTTATTACCTTTTTATTATTATAGATTAGGGTATTACAAATGTATTATTAGCAATATATTTTTCTCTTGTGAACTGTAGTTTATGCCTTCTGCTCACTTATATAATGAGTGGCAGATATTGGTATTATTAAAAACACTAATCCTTGCCCTGGTTGGTTTGGCTCAGTGGATAGAGTGTCGGCCTGTGGACTGAAGGGTCCCGAGTTCAATTCCAATCCGGGGCACATGCCCAGGTTTCAGGCTCAATCCCCAGTAAGGGGCATGCAGGAGGCAGCTGGTCAATGATTCTCTCTCATCATTGATGTTTCAATCTCTCTCTCTCCCTTCCTCTCTGAAATCAATAAAAATATATTTAAATAAATAAATAAATACACTAATCCTTAGTCATTGATTGTAAAACAGTGTCCCTGGTTCTGTTTTACTTTAATTTATATTGTCTGGCATCTGAGCTTTGGGGGGATTTTTAGTATGTATTAATAGAATTAAATCTATCTTTTCTTTTGTAATTCCTTCCAATCCTTTGATTTAGAAAAACCTTTTCTATCCAGAAATTTTAAACATACCTCTTATATATTCTTATAATTAAAATCATCCACGATTTAATGTTTTCATTTTTTACAGCAGGTATAGAACTATGTGTAAATGTGATTTTAAATGTATACATTTATTTACTAAATAAGCTGAATTACAAAGCAGTAGAAAATACTCATTTTCTACATTTAATTCTTTACTCCATTTAGAATCTATTTTTGTGTATGAAAAAGGTAAAACAATTTTATCAATAAGTTTTGATGCAATAATCCTGACTCATACTTTACCTGTGCTTTATATCACATAATAAATGAAATCAAGAATTATCATTCAAAGAAAATTACAAGGCTGGATTTTTTTTTCCCTCTACAACCATCTACCCAACAATATTTCTGGAGTAGGAAGTAATATGCATAAAAGAAAATTATAATAATGGCATGGAGGGTAGGGGAAATCCCTGCTCTCCTTTTAATTATTCCTGCATGTAATAATAAATGATGGAAACAGCAAGCAAATGTAGATGTTTCCCCACAGTTTAGTAAGATTTTCTTACCTCCAACATGGCAACTAACTCTGATTTGGAAATGCCAATTCGATCTCGGTCACAACTGTCTACTACATAAATGACGGCATCTGTGTTTGAATAATAACATCTCCAGTATGGCCTAAAGAAAATTTAGAAAGGGAGCATATATCATTATTTGAAAAAAGATTAAGCTGATATGTTAGTTTATATGCTAGGACTTGGCGAGGCAGGTGGTAGTTACCTGCCAATTTGGTCCCACCCATGTTAGAATCACTACCATAATGATATAGTGTTTCCAATTGATATCTATCATATCCCTCAGACGTAAAGGTGGAAAGAATGTTAATAAACATTAACTCACAGGAGTTCAAACTTTAGGCTGAGAAAAATCTATTTATAACCAATAGCATCACTAAACGTACTGACAAAAATGTTGTACACGGACCTGATCGTTATATCTTACAAATCTTTAACTAGGAATTAAGAGGAATGGGTCCCTAAAATTTTTTTTTAATAACTTTATATAACAGGCATTAAATTGATCACTAAAGACACAAAGGAGTCGAATGGATAAAGTTAGAAACAGAATCAAAAGTGATTCAAGAAATAAAACATGATAAAAGGAAGCAGGACATTTGGGGAATGCACTACTGATCTTTTAAGATGGAACCACAGTGAGCAACCACTGACAGTCACCACACATTTACAGTTGCCACGTCAAAGCACAAATGCTAGGCAGGAGACCTGAGTCCCCCAAGGCATCTATGTTCCATTAGCCCCAAGAAGTGGGCCTGAAAGGTATTTTTATGAAATCTAAAATAGTCTGTCTCACAGAGGAAGGGGCTGGCAAGAACTAAATGGAAGACCCTTTTAGTAAAAAAAACATTAAATCTTGAGTCTCATGAAAACTTTTTTCATTTAAGTGATATCTGAAGAACTGGTCCTTAGATTTTAATTCAATTGAGAGAACAGGCAGGTTTACCACATTTTAAACTAGGTGCTACTCAGCCATCAGAAAAGATGAAATACTGCCATTTGCAACAACATGGATGGACCTTGAGAATATTATGCTAAGCAAAATAAGTCAGTCAGGAAAAGCTAAAAACCACATGATTTCACTCATGTGTGGGATATAAAACTACAACTCACAGACAAAACAGTATACTGGTTACCAGAGGGGGATGGGAGTGGCGGTGGGGAAAATAACCTTTTGCCTGCCATAAGAGTCTATAGACCAAGTTTAAAATCATTTTTTTTTTAAATTTTCAACTGAAAATATTCAAGAACACCCGAATTGTAATACATTTATTTTCATAATATTCATTGCAAACTGATTTTTTAAATTAAATTCAAAATATCATGGCGTGTGGGGATGGTTTCCCTTTTGGACACATGGCAGTTAACTGGTTAAAGGATAAAGGGGGCCAAATATAGTGACAGAAGATGATCAGACTTGAACACAGAGTGCAATATACAGATCATGTATCATAGAAATGTACACTTGAAAACTATATAATCTTATTAGCCAACTAGAGGTCTGGTGCATGACATTCGTGCACTGGGGTCAGGGAGGCCCTCAGCCTGGCCTGCACCCTCCTGCAGTCTGGGACCCGTTGGGGGATGTCTGCTGAGGGGTCTTTAGCACTGCCGCAGAGGCAGGAGAGGCTCCCACCACCACCACTGCGCCAGCTGTGAGCCCAGCTTCTGGCTGAGCTGCGCTCCACGTGGAAGAGCACTGACCACCATGGGGCAGCTCCTACATTGAACATCTGCCCCTGGTGGTCAGTGTGCATCATAGCAACCGGTCGTTCCACCATTTGGTCGATTTGCATATTAGGGTTTTATTATATAGGATGTGCCCCAGTAAATTTAATTAAAAAAATAAAAATCATTTTCCAAAAAAAAAACACTAGGTGCCTTCCATTTAAATTACAAAAGAAGATATTTTTTGGTGTATTGCTGTTAACCCTACAAGAGCCGATGTTAAATACCACAAAATAATCTGATCTTTGCACCATACCTGATACTGGTCTGTCCTCCTAAATCCCAGACTTGAAATTTAAGGTTTTTGTATGTTACCGTCTCAACATTAAATCCAATGGCTGAAAGATAAATGAGTAATTTATGTAGACACTAATGCATTCTATCTTCAAAGTACCCAATCTAATTGAGTTTCTGCAATAAATGATAACTGTTGAATTACATTATTGGTTAAGATATTCCATTTAAGACAAGTCAGTATGCTGTGCTACACACACACTCTCACACACACAATTAGCAAGATCAGCACCACCTTCCGATTATATAAGAATCCCAGGTCTCCTCTGCAAACACGTAATTTTTAGCTCAATAGAAATCCTATTATGTTAAACTCTCATAATACAATACTAACATACAAAAGTGTTCGGAAAGTTATATTTAAAAGGAAAGTTGTAGATTATTCTAAAAATCTGAATTTTGGTAGGTAGCAAATAAACAGGACAAAATCAAGAAAGCCCAGATTCTAAACTTCAGTGGGTAAGGACACAGCAATGGCTGTTGATTGCTTTACGGAAGCTGGGTTCTCCAATGCTGGCAATTTCAGACCCTCTGCGGACTTCCTCCAGCACTCGCTGGCAATAAGGTCACAGCTGGATGACCAGAGGGAGATGCCCCATCCCTTCCTCTGCCATCCTTCTTAGGTGGAGCCCTGACACCACACAGATAAGGCAGGAGACCACTATTTTCATTGAAAGGAATCTAAGAGAAAGTGCAGAGGATGCTAAAGAAAATTAGGAGTTATATATACAAAGTTTACTATGATTTGACAAGCTTAAAAAAAAAGCACAGTAAAAACTGACAGCTGTAGCTGAATAATTTTTATTTTAGACTTAGTTTGTATTGGTAAATGATTCATATGTGTATATAGCAAGTATGCCTATTAACTAAAAAATAACTATACTATTATAAGCAGCCGGAGCAAAAACTAAAAAGCAAGTTCATAATGTCTCCCTTAGACTTAGGTAGGAGTGTAATCACCATCTTCACCAAGATTAGGAACACAGTTTCTATGCAAAGAATAAGAGTGTGGTGTAAATCAGCATTCACTGAAATGCAATCCACTGAGTTATGTGCACTGCAGGGATGACAACGACCAAGACAGACACAGAAGTGATGGGCAATTTTGAGAATCAAAAAAAAAGGGAACTGCCCTGACTGGTTTGGCTCAGTGGATAGAGCGTCGGCCTGAGGACTCAAGGGTCCCAGGTTCAATTCCAGTCAAGGGCATGTACTTGGTTGCGGGCACATCCCCAGTGGGGGGTGTGCAGGAGGCAGCTGACCGATGTTTCTCTCTCACTGATGTTTCTAACTCTCTATCCCTCTCCCTTCCTCTCTGTGAAAAATCAATGAAATATATTTTTTTTAAAAAAAAGGAACTAAAATTTACTGAAGGTGGCAAAAAGAAAAAATGATGTCACAGTTTTAAAAGTTCTTTTCATAAAAGCTAGCCTTCTTTTTGTAATTTTAAATTCAAATGCTACTAAAAAGAAATACCTTGAATGACAGAGTAACTTTAGAGGCATAATTTAAGTACTCTTAAACAGCCAAGCCAGTGTTGCTCAGTGGTTGAGCATTGACTCATATACCACTTGGTCAGGTTCAATTCCCAGTAGGGCACATGCAGGAGGCAGCCGATCAATGATTCTCTCTCATCATTGATGTTGCTGTCTCTCTCCCTCTCCCTTCCTCTCTAAAATCAATAAAAGTGTGTGTATACAAATATATATTTTTTAAAAGTGTTATCAACAATATGCTCATACTAGAAGTTTACAATATCCTTATCAATTACTTTATTATATTCTTAATTAAAAGTAAAATTATGATAGAAAAGAGAAAGCTCTTATAATTTATCATACCAACACTTACTAGGAATAGTAGTAACAACCTCTCCAACCTGTAATCTGTACAAAATTGTAGTTTTTCCTGCTCCATCTAATCCCAAAATTAAAATCCTCATTTCCCGGGTTCCAAATAGACTCGAAAATATACTTGAGAAAAAGCCACCTAAAAAATAATAAAAGCAAAAAATGTATTAAGTATCATTTTTTGAATTGGTCCACAAAACATTTACTCTTGCCCCTTGAAAGCTACACCAAATTTAATATTATTTCCCTGGATTCATAAATGCACATTTTTGCCCCCATTGCAATATGTTATTCAACACACAATAAGTAAACTCTTGTTATCATGTTCTAGATAAAGTATCAGACAAGCACAGAAGCTTCACTGAAAATAAGAGATACATGACCACCACCCTCAGGGAGCTCACTTTCTAATCAAGAGAATTTGGGCACCTTAGCATGCTGTCCCCATGACCACTAAAACCCAAAGGGCAAATCTGAATGACAGGGGGACAATGAGATCCTTGCACAGGAAACACAATTATCACTGCTGTACAGCAACCGTATCATCATAACTACACCTTTAACCAGTAAGATGTCTTATTAACAACAAAAAAATAAAAAGTGAGACACAGAAGCCCAAAATAAAAACTGTTCTTCTTGGTAGAAAACTCACTGAAAAAAATAATGCTAACATTCAATGCATCACGAAACATTTCCAGAAAACTTCCTATATGCAAGGTACAGTGCGATCGAAAAGCACTTGTAAACAGAGAGTAGAACTGTGGTTGCTGGAGGCGGAGGAATCGGAGAAAGGAAGAGATGTGCACGCTTTTGTCAAAAGATGGACAGTTCTGAGACCAAAAGTACAGCATGGTGATGACAGTTAATAATGTAGTAGACACTGAAATTTGCTAAGAAAGATCGCCAGAGGTTCTCGCCACACACACACACACACACACACACACACACACACACACACACACACGGTTCTCACCACACGCACAGATTAGTGTGACTGTTATTTCGCAAGGTATACTTATATCAAAATATCATGTTGTACCTCAAAATACATACAATTTTTGTCAGTCACACGTCAGTAAAGCGGTGGGGGGAGGGAGGAAGTAATTAACATTAAAAAATCCTTCTAGAAATGGACTGTGTTTAAGTAAAATAACCCTAAAAGTAAGGAAGGTGGAGATTTAGAGTCTTTATTATTCTTTTATCAACAAATAAAGCTTTAAAAAAATGTTTTTTCTTTTATGATTACCAAAAAAAAAAAAAAAAAAAAAAAAGCACTCTGGTTTGACTCTTTCCCACCAAAAGCCATTAGATTGAAAGGACGTTACATTAAACAGTGTTTTAAAGGTTGACAACAGAAGCGATGCCATTCAACAGTACATGGCTACTGGACAAAGAAATGCGAGCGAACCTTGGGAAGGTGTGACAGAGGGGGTGGGGCGTGACAGAGTTCTTTCTACCTTTTACAAATTTTATATATATATATATATATATTTATTTATTTATATATATATATATATATATATATATATATATATATATATATATCGGAATAGCAAAACCAAGGCGGTTATGGAAAAAGACAGAAAGGTGCTTGCGCCGCTCCAGAGCAGGAAGTAAAATCCCTAGAAAAAAACCCGGGGAGGGATTTAAAGAAGTCAGAGGCTTTCCAGCCCCAGGACCGAGCTGCAAACGAGGGAAAGAGCCTGTGACTTCCTCTGGACTCCCCGAGGGAGGCGGCTTCGTTTCACCCGCAGCTCGGGAGGCCGCTCGCTCGTCAGCGAGACCCCCCCGCCCCCTCCCCGCTCTGCTCTCTGCCAGAAACGCCGCAGAACCGCAGACGGACGGCGCGGCGGCCGCGGGACGAAGGACGAGCCACGCCCCCCAGCGGCCAGCGAGGGAGGACCCAGCTCGCACCCGGGGGTCGGAGCTCCCTCCGCCCACGAATCCTCAGCCTGCGCCCCCGGGACAGACACTCCGCCGAGCCTGGCGAGACCAACTCGGCCCGGCGAGTCCAGCGGGGTCCGAGGGGGTGAGGGGAAAGTCCATGCTCCGGGGAGAGGCCTCGGGCGGCTCCCAGGGCGCAGCGCCGGGGGCCCCGCGCAGCCCGGACCCCGACCCCGCTCTGGGGACCGGGAAAGGGGCAGGGGCGGCCGCGCCAGGCCGGTCCACCCCCGCAGGTGAGCGAGGTCCCAGCGCCCCGCCCCGCCCCGAGAGGAGCCGGCGACGCAGGGCGCCCAGGCCGGCCCCGCTCCTCCGCCCGTCCCGCCCGCAGCCCGCGGCCGCAGCCCCTCCTCGGACCCCTCACCCATGATGAAGCGCCCGTCCGCCCTCGTCGATCGGCAGACACAGGCCCCGGTCTCGGCAGCGACGCTACTGGATCCCCGGTGCCGCCACCTCCGCTCGTCTCGGCCTCCGGCGGCTCGGAGGCGGTTTCCTTGGAAGCCTCGTCAGCCAGCAACTTCCACGTCGGCCACCCGGCGTGGGCGGGAGCGAGCGGCCGCCGCGACTGCGCGACTGCGCGGCGGAGGGCGGCCTGTGCGTCCGCGTCGTTGCTTTCGACGCAAGTTCGCGGCGCGCTGGGTGATAAGTGGCGTGAAAGCCAGGAGAGAAAAAATAGGCAAGCACCCGGAGTCTCTCCTGCCTCTGTTTCCTTGGACAGGAAAGGTCTTCCGAAACACAGAACTTGGAATTTTCATTTTTAATTCTAACTCCAAAAAGTAGCGAATCCGTTAACCAGGAACGCGAGTCGGGCTTCCTTCAGCAGCGCGACTAGACGCGCGCGGCGACTGCAGCTTCGCAAGAGCTGCTGGTCCTGAAGCGCCCGGCGGGGGAGCCTCCACTTGGCCTCCAAGGCTATCGGACAACGTAGTAATCGGGGGGGGGGGGGGGGGACCCCCTCTGCCACCGATGCGCCGCAGCCTTCCACCGAAGCCTCCAACTGCAGACCTTGGGCGTCGCCATGCCCTGCACGGTCCGCGTTAGAAGCCCTGCCCCCTTCCTTCCACCTGACTGCACACCTGGCCGCCCGTCCGCGACTGGCAGTGTGGACGGGCGCGCCCCGATCCTGGGGATTTGGGTTGGAGGCCTGTTCCCTGGGGGCTGGGGGCCAGGAGTAATGTTGATCTTGAAGGCAGCCACACTTGGAGGATGGGGAGAAGGGATGATCCTAGACCAGCGGTTCTCAACCTGTGGGTCGCGACCCCTTTGGGGATTGAACGACCCTTTCACAGGGGTCGCCTAAGACCATCGGGAAACACATATATAATTACATATTGTTTTTGTGATTAATCACTATGCTTTTATTATGCTCAGTTTGTAACAATGAAAATACATCCTGCATATCAGGTACTTACATTACGACTCATAACAGTAGCAACATTACAGTTATGAAGTAGCAATGAAAATAACTTTATGGTTGGGTCACAACATGAACTGTATTAAAGGGTCGCGGCATTAGGAAGGTTGAGAACCACTGCCCTAGACTCTAATTTTGTTTAAAAAAGGCTGCGCATGCGTCTTAAAATTTCGCAAAGAGCCACGGAAAACTAAGCCTGTCCCAAGCCCCTCATCCTGCAGTTCTCCCTAGAAGTAACCATTGTTAACATCTTCTCGGGGTCTCTTACCAAGTAGAATATGTATATATCATGTACTTAGTTATAATAGACGTGTTCATCCGTTAAACAAGTTTATGGACTGCCTGTGGGTTTTGTTTTTTTTTATTTCAATTTTCAGATCTCTCCAGCTGCCTAGACGTGGAACTAAATTTAAATTTGCTGATTGCTCTCGACTCTCCTTCCTGCTCCCAAATCATAATTTCGCAGACATTTTTCTTGTAAGGAAACGTGTTGGGGTTTTTGTTGGTTGGTGTTTTGGATTTTCCTGTTTTGTTGTTTGAGAAGGGGGGAGTTGAGCGACTCCTCGCCTAAACACCGGGGCTTTTGTAAGGCTGTGCTTGCTTTGTAAGCATTGTGTTGTGCAGCTTCTGGACCTCAGCGTGCTGACTCCAGCGGGCTTTCTCACCTATTCTTCGTCCACCTCCAGGCCCTCTCCTTGCCAAGATTAGCTTCTGCCTCCTGGCACATCTTGGCCACCAGTTAGTCCCCTGGAAATAGATTCCCCTTGAAGAACTACAGGGAAAGAGACTGCACACTGTATTCACATTGTATATTCTGAACCAAGTAAGCAAGGGAGATACATGCGAGGATGCTGTGTAACCGGAAATGCTGTGTACATGTTAAAAAGTGTTACTGCCCTGGCTAGTGTGGCTCACTTGGTTGCGTGTGGTCCTATGCACCCGAAGTTCTCGGGTTTGGTTCCAGGGTCAGGGCACATTCCCAGCAAGGGGAGAGGAGGCGGCAGCTGATGGATGCTTCTCTCTCACAGCAATGTTTCTCTCCCCCTCTCCCTTCCTCTCTCGAAAATCAATAAAAAGAATTTTTAAAGTGTTGTTAATATTACTAGATAGCGTATCAGCCTTTCATAATGCATATTAAGCACCTCAATTACAAGTCACTATGGACACAAGTGATAAAAAAATAAAAACTCTTTAGGCAATTTGATGGACTTTATTTTTCAAAATTTACCCATTTCATTCTTTGTTTTGACTGTGAAGATCAGATCTAATTTCCTGGATGCATCAAAAACAAAATAAAATTCTCCATTCACTGAAAGCTTTGATCTAAAAACAAATCCCAAAATGTTAAGATAGTGTTGCCCTTTACATTTTTCTAGAGTGGGTTTGAGACAAATTTTTACTGTTTATCATGTTTAAGGCCTTAATGCTATACCGATGAAATACTCTAGAACAGTCTCTAAGAATTTCTAAATTTTAGAGGCACTTATTAACCCAAGAGTATTTAAGACAGAAAATTAAAGTGGTTTCAAAAAGTTCTGAGCCCTAGCCCGTTTGGCTCTGGATAGAGCTTTGGCCTTCGGACCAAAGGGTCCTAGGTTCCATCTGATGAAGGGCATGTACCTCAGTTGCAGGCTCCTCCCTGGCCCGGCTAGGACCTCTGCAGGAGGCAACCAATCAATGTGTTTCTCTCACATTGATGTTTTTCTCTGCCTTTCCCTCTCTCTTCCAAGCTATTGCTACCTTGTTTACCTCTGACTATAAAAATAAAGGCTCAGTTTGCTAGGGATCTTTCTCTGTGGCCTCAGCCAGGCACAGGAAGATCCAAGGAGACTAAAGAGAGCTAGAGAGTTCTGAACGCTGTCTCCATGTAAAACATACTTCGCCGACTCTGTCCACACCTTTGGGAACCCCTGGACCCCAGCACTCACCTCTTTCTAGTCTTTGCTCAAATATCATCCTATTTAAAATTGCAACCTACTTGCCTGGCCAGTGACTCAGTGGTTGAGCATATGCCCATGAACCAGGAGGTCACCATTCAGTTTTAGGTCAGGGCACATGCCCAGGTTGCAGGCTCGATAACCAGTAGAGGGTGTGCAGGAGGTAGTTAATCAGTGATTCTCTCTCACTGATGTTCTCTCTCTCTCCCCTCTTCCTTCCTCTATCTGAAATCAATAAAAACATTTTTAAAGTATTTCTAAAATTGCAACCTACTCAACATCCCTCTTATCCTGATTTTTTAATACACCTTCCCACTAAACATATAATTTACTAATTTATTACACTTACTATTTATCGTCTACTTCCTTACACTAGACTATAACATCTATGAATGCAAGTATTTTTTGTTTACTTTGTTCTTGTACTTGGTCACTAAACAAAAAATATTGAGAGAATTTTTTAAATTATAAAATAAGTACCTAAGCCCAATATCATAAACATTAGTTAGTTTAAACATATATTATTTAATGTTATTAAATATTATTAAACTTGTTTCCTGAAATAGGCCTATCTGAACCACTTGCCCTAATTTGACTGGAAAGGCCAACCTATCGTTTTTCAATGAAGTTGTCATATCAGGAGAGTAGCCACCAGGTGGTGCTATTGCTTTAGACTAGTTCTCAGCATGAGTTCAGTTGGTCCAATTTAATAAATGTTGAGTGGACAATTTAATCCTTTTCAAATTTTATGATTCAGTAATAATTTACAGAGTTTTATTTTCCCATCACCATTTGTCCCTTCTATGCCCTCTTTCACTTCCCCTGCCCCCGCCCCATAATTTACTGAATTTTAAAGTGTGTATGTTTGAATGCAGTCTGAGCAAGTAAAACAATTGCAGAACACCTTTGACTATAAAGTCGAAATAAGATCAAGTAAGTTCATAAATTTAAAACTAGAAGGAACCTTCATTCCTACCACCACAACTTCAAATAAAGAAGTAGAACCAAGCTAAGTGATAATGCCAGGAGAGCAACCCTGATCATTTGATTTCCAGGCCTAAAGTAATCTATCCTATCTAATAATAGACAAAGATGCACATTGACCATACCTTCGCTACACCCAACATTGGCTAATCAGAGTGGTATGCAAATTAACCACCAACAAAGATGGTGGCTAATTTGCATATACCGGCTGGGAGCGAAGACTGAAGACACCGTAGAAGGAAGCCAAGCAACGGAGCTGAGGTAGTGGAGAAGGGCGGGGTAGGAATGGCAGAGATGGGAGCGAAGTCCTATTCTTGTAGGAATCTTCCTGCAATGGGCCTCTAGTATATATATATAAGCCTAAGCAACTGCCCTACCATCCAACTGGTAGCTATGATGTGCAATAACCACCAGGGGGCAGATGCTCAATGCAGGAGCTGCAGAGCTGCGGTGACTTGGCAGCTGCAGTTCTCGGGTGATGCACCTGGAACCAGAGAGGAGGGTGCCCGATTCTGGGGTGTGTCACCCTCTTGCCATCCAGAATCCCTTGGGGGATGTCAGAGAGTCATTTTTGGCCCAAACCCTGCAGGCCAGGCCGAGGGACCCCCACCTACCGGAGGGACCCCATTCACTCCGCAGACACCCTTCAAGCCATGGTGCTGCCCCAGGTGGCCGGGGAGGGACTGTGGGAGGTTGACTCCAGGGCATGTTTGGCCCCTCTTACCCAGTCCTGCCCCACCGGCCACCTTCTAATTAATTTCCTATCAATGTGCACGAATCCATGCACCAGGCCTCTAGTTAACATTATAATACCTTCTATGCAGGAGAACCAAGATGGCGGCATAGGTTAACGCCGGAGTTTGCTGCTTTGAACAACTACTTCAAAAGTGAAACCAAAAAACGGAAGGGACATCACCCAGAACCACAGGAACGCTGGCTGAGTGGAAGTCCTACAACTAGGAGGAAAGAGAAACGCATACGGACACTCAGAGGAGGCACAGTCAAATTCTGAGGTGCGGAGTGCGCGGAGCGGGCTGGCGGCGGAGGGCGCGGTTGGCGTTTTCAATCGGGAGGGAGTCGCAGACTCTGAGCTCCAGATCCGGGCGAGTCTTTAGGGACCCAGACTCAAACGGGAGAAGCGGGACTGTCTGGCTTCGGTCAGAGCGAGTGTAGCTTTCTCTCTGAGCTTTGCAGCGGGTGCTGGGACTCAGAGAGGCAGAGCCCCTGGGG